ATGGTCATAATGTGCTATGAGAACGTGATAAGAATATGATGGATATTTTGGAAAATGTTTACACAAACAAGTCTATCAACTGAAACTCTGAGATGCTAAACTGAAATAAAATCCATTATAATTTGGCCTTTATTTCAACAAAAGGCCATATTTAGCATTGACTCATCTTAATGATCATTACATGCAAGAGATTCTTGATTTTCATGTCACAAATCAAATCCAGACTCTTTCGCTGGCAAACATTTTACTGTCTCAGCCAGACAAAATTGTGAATGTTAAACATTTTGAGTGAGCATTCAGGATGAATTGTTAGGTTTTTGTGTGTGTGTGTGTGTGTGTGTGTGTGTGTGTGTGTGTGGGGTGTGTGTGTGTGTGTGGGTGTGTGTTGTGTGTGTGGGTGTGTGTGTGTGTGTGTGTGTGTGTGTGTGGGGGTGGGGTGTGTGTGTGTTGTGTGTTTTAAGCACAGCAACATGTAGGTCTGTCACTATTTTCTGTTTATGCAACTACTACTGTTGGTTGGCTTTTACTTTTCTTGGCTGAAAGATGACGTTGTAAATCTGGATAATTTCCTTCTGTTTCCCAAAAGGGAACATTTGAATGCAGTTACTGTGTGTAAAATATACTAAATAATGGTAACACCGAGGGAAATAAAATGGTTTCTCTAGTTTTAGATGAAGCAATATCATCCTTTAGATCAAACAACATTTGTAGGTGATAGTACATCTGGAATAAGACAAAACTCACTTAAAAGCAGTGGTAGAAGAACTTGTTTTAGTTAAATAATTCCTTAATATTTATGAAACAGAAAGACAACTCACTAAAATGTACAGAAATATAGCACAAAACCACTCAGAAAATGTTTTATGTTCACATCGGGTTGGTGTTTTGTAACTGACAAGATGAATCGGACTTTCTTTACTGGGGTTTGAAAAGATCTTCCACTGTGGCTCTTTAGACTGACATTATAATAACAGTATTTTTTGATTCTGTTGACTTTGGTTGCTTTTGTTATTTTGGTTCTGACTTTGGTCGTCATCTTGTGTCAAGGTGATAACCTTAAAATTCCCTGCATTGTGATGCAAATGCTCAACTCTCATTGGTTTGGCCAAAATGTTCACGAGGAAAGAAAACAATATTGGAAAGGATTAAATAGTTAAGATTCCATGCATGTTGGGATGGTTTGGAGTTAAAATCTGAAAACTATGAAAAAACGTTCCAGTCAAATACTTTCTGGTAAAAAACAAAAAGGTGTATAAAATGGCAGAAAACATTTGGGCCGATTTAAAAAAATTATAAACAGCTCACTTTACACCACTGCTTCTGAAATATTTATGAAATAAAATATTTTTCTGTTTCAAACATCCCTGCTCTAAAGACTAGAGATGAATGAAGTTAAGTCCACCAGTCAGGCAGAGATACAAGAAAAAATTAAATTCAAAAAATCACTCAGTTTTTGTACTCACAAAGAGACAGTACCATTGTCAAAATGCAAACAGAGTCAGTTACCCCTATCGCCAAAGATAGTTTTAGTGCTGCTTCAGAGGTCGAATATCATTTGTCTGCACTCTCTCCAGAGCAGTATGCTTACTTTTGCATAATGCAGCTCTTTTAGCTTATTCAAGTGCTATGGAAAGCAACGGTGAAAGTAGGAATTGGGATGCAAGCTGCAGTTTGCGGTTCTCCACAACCCCAGAGTTATTAATACTATGAAAACATAAGGGCACATATAATTTTTCATCCTTAGAGAGACAAGAATGCACCAAAATTAATGTTGGTGCAGCTAATTAGAGATATTTCACAAACATGATGGCCCCACCTTATTAAGAACAGGTTTATTCAAATTGTTGTGTAATACAACCCTAAAGTGTGTTAATGTGTATAAATCAGAGTCTAAGAATCAACAGCAAAACTTATTTCTAAAGAGGCAAAGTTTTCATTCTGTCATACTTCCAGATAATTAAATTAAAACAGTGGATTGTTAAATTGTGATTTCTGCTGTGTCCTCTGCTTTCGCTGCCTTTACTTTGCCTTTCATTTCCTGAAAATGTACATCAGTTCTCACCCTCCAGAAGCAGCCTGAGGTTCTTGTGTTAACCAATTACTTTTATCTCTGTGTCATCCTCCCCTAATTCTTCCTCCTTATCCTTCGTTCCTTCACATTGAGCTCAGAGGGATTGCTTTTATCCGGGGCAACATACGCTACATATTTCTGTCGAGAAGGAGACCTAATTGAATTGGGCTCTCTCCTCATCACGCTACACTTACCCAGCACAGAGTAATCAATGAAAAGGTCCTGGCAGAGAGGGGCACGTCTCTTAGATGCTTGATTTATGGTCTTGCGTGAGGGCAGCAGTAGAGAAGCCCGGCTCAGAGAACAAATGATGACAGAGAGGGATACTGTGCACGTCATATATCAGATTAGTGCCATCGACATAGCACCCACATCTGATCAAAAGTGACATTGCTGAAACTGATGGGAATATATATAGAAATATATATAGTGTAGAATTTTTCTTTACCTATAAAAAGAATAACTATGAACCACAAGAAGATGAAAATCAATTTTATCGAAGTCCATCCACTATAAGATCCAATACTGTAGTATAGAACTATGATTCAAGTGAATGATAGTTTAATTACCAGGGAGGGGGATGAACATTATACACAGAAGCTTCATTCCCACCCTTTATTAGGAGAGCTGACAAGTCACAGAAGACCTGCAGGTCCACTTCCCCCTCCTCTACTTCTGTTTTATACAGTTGAGAAAACACCGTGCTGCAGTAAATGTGTAGGAAAGGGAACAAATAAGTCCATTACCCCAGATAAAGTGATGCATGTTAATTAGCAGCAGTTTATCTAGATCTAAATTATGCACCCGTCTGGAATTAGAAATAATTCAGTATTTATGAGATTAAGATTGGCTGTCCTGGTAGAAGTCACTGCACACTGATATCGCTCTCATTACCACCGCAGTTCTTCTCTGTCTCACTCATTGAATCAAAGTTTATGAGTCATCTAAATCTACTGCAGATTTTCTGCTGGCTTGTTGCTCCAGTGTTGGATGCAAAGACCTCAAAGATGAAAAGTGGTTTGCAAAAAATTAAAAAATAAAAAATAAAAAAAAAAAACTGATAGTGAAAGGAAATGGAGGGAAAATGAGGGGAGAATTTCCATTATTTTACAACTAAAGAAACTTTCCAGAAAAAAAAAATCTGGAAGGCAAATCTTGACCCAAGCTAAAGCATTTTGCAGCCTCCAGCAAGCATATGAAGCAGGGGAGTCAAACTCAATTTCACTTTGTTCCACATAAAGATCATGAATGTCCTCAAGGGCCAGTTGTGGCAAAATGTATTGAAACTCATTAATAAACTGTTGAAATATTAATAATAAACTGTCTCTGCATTCGATGGGTTGCTGTTCAAATTAAATAATACTGAATGTCTTTCAACATTGATCAGTCCCTCCAGGAAACATCCAGGTCTTTATATTTTTTTGTTGTTTTTTTCGTAATCAAAATCATAAATATTATGACACCATGTTATATGACAGTGAAAAAAACAGTGTTGATTTTGAGTGAATTTCTTAAGAAAAAACTTGATAAAATGGCTGATGTAATTTGGCAGTAAGCTGAGAAAAAAACCTTTTGATTTGATTGATAAAATCACACAACTATTATCTTGAAGTTTCTATTCATGTTTCTCTTTGGAGTCTAAAGGGCCACATAAAAAGTCATGGTGGGCCAGATTTGGCTCCTGAGCCATGACTTTGACACATATGAATCGCCAAGGATTTAGGTGAATTCATCAACTCTGGTCCTTTCCAATGACTTCTGGTAAATTTTTCTCTGCTTGTTTTGAATCTTGAATATTTTCTTTACATAAAAACATTAATTTTGATCTGGATGTTTCTCATGCAAGCACACTATCAGGCTTTTCTGAAGCAGTCAAAGGAGATTCTGTCAGTTTTTGCAACAGCAAGACAACACGTTCAGTCAACATCTCACAAAAAGCTTCAGCTTCCGCATGTAACTGTCTGAAAGCCATTTGGAAATGTGTCATACTGTTGAATTTGGTTACAGACAAAGAAGAGAGGAAGTAGAAGGTTTTCCTCTTTAGAAAGGAGCACTGGATTTGCAAAGCGTACACAAAAGAGCATGACTAACCCTCAACAGAAGGCTGCGGGATATTTCTGTTCTTTTTGAGGCTGAAAACAAGGTGGAAAAAGCCAGACTCACCTTTACTCACTGGCTTCATTATTCACATGTCAGGTTTATTATGTCAAACTGTTTCAACATGTAGACTTTGCGTTGGCAGATTTTTCTTTCACTATATTTTTAAAGAACTGTTCAGAACAAGTCGAGTATACACAGAAGTATGTAGGAGTTGATTAGACTTTGCATTTATAAAACATACTTCAGTTTTATCTATATCATAAAAAGCACAGAACAGAATCAGGATTCATTTCATGCCTTTGCACCCAATCAACTTCTTATTACCCAGCAGATATACAGATAATCACTTTTAAATGTATCAGGAAATTGATACAGTACATTTACAAAATACAAGAAAAATGCAATCACTCTGGCATAAATATATTGGTATGAAATGACATTAATATACAGTTGCAGTCAAAGGGTCTTCTCAGGTCAGGAAAGACCTACTTCTGTCTCGGTAGCTCCAATGTGTGTAGCTGCATTTTAATGAATAGGAATCTGTCCTAATTTTGTCATTTCAGGCACTAACATTGTTTTCCGCAGAGGCAAAAGCAATTTAATGCTTGCTTAAAGAGGAAAAATGTAAAACAACCAACTGCAGGCAGAAAGCCCACAAAATGTTTTTGAAGCACACTTCAAAAACATTTTGTTGTAGCTTTTTTTAATCATTATTAGTTCAGTCTCTTTTCTTAACCAGTGGTTCCTTCCAATCAGCTTTCTAAATTTGACTCCGTTTACAAGTTAGCTTCTTTAGCATTGCCATTCTATGGCTCACCCCTCTTGTGGAAGGTGTCAATAACTGTCTGGTAAGACATCTTTTCCATGATTGTGTGGGTTGTAGCACAGCTATGACATAGCTATTTGTTTTAGAAATATAATGTTAATCATCAAAATTGACAAAAGCAAATGTTTGAAATACATCATCAGTTTAGGAATCTCTGTAGCATACTGATTAATGTTTGATTGTGTCAGATTCTTAGAACTAAATTAATTAAATAAATTAAATGCTTCATGACTTTCAAATTTATTGAAGTATGTGTGTAATACAAGTTCTTCAATTTCACAAAAAATTATCACAACATCTGACCAAATAATAGGAATATAGAGTGCATATTTAAAGGTATTAGAAATCTGGGCAAAACCAACGTTAATGTAAATATCCATATTTTTTCTTCTGAAATAAAAGTGGCTTTTTGCTATGGCATAGCAGACATATTGAAGTAATTCGAAACATTTTTGCATAATTTCAGTTAGAACAGTTTCTGGTCAGTTTTCTTTTTCAACGGTTTTTTACTGACCTCTGCTGGTTAACAGAAGAACTACAAGTATTCAACTGTACAGAAGTGGCCAAAAGCTCAACGAACGAGAACAAAGGTTCGAACTTTCTGTTATCCATTAAGTCATTATTAACTTTATTAATTTCTCCTTTATAGTCTAAAATAGCTAGCAAACTGCTATGGTTTATGTCAGCAAGTATGCTTGGCTAGAAAAGTGTTAGCTAGTTTGATTGCCAGTTATGTTCAAATTGCTAATTGTAAAAAAAACTGACAAGGTTTGGAGGCTACAGACTAAATAGCATTTATTAAATAGGCTAAAGTCGCTGCAGTAGCTCGATTAACTGTAATGAATCGCCTCTGTGTTAACCGAAGCTAACTTCCTGTTTTGTGTGTTATGTGTGTTATTTCTTAAAGAGCTAGGCGTAGATGGTTTTTAATTTAATTAATTAGCGTAGTCGTTGGTGAAATTGTATTGACACATACTTTTTAAAATTGAAAATACAGAAGTATGCATTTCAAATATGTTTCCATTCTTAGAATTAATAAAGAATAGAATAGATAGCATCTATTGTCATTGAACAGCATTCAACGAAATTTGGCTAAATGTTTTCTTCCTATTTGTTTATAGCATTTCTGAACATTTGCTACTGTTTATGTTGTCATAGGAAAAGTAGGTAATGACAGATTTGGATTTGTCGTATGTTGTTGTACACTTGGATAATTTTAGGTCAGATTTAGATTTATTAAGAACCTTGTTAATACCAGATAAATTAAATTATTTCTTGACATGTAAACACTGAGTTTGGAAAAGAAAATGTTGTCTTTTTCCATTGGTTTTATATGACTGCAAACTAAAATCTCTTGTTTGACTGGTATAACAAAGGCTTTGTTGTTTATGTCCAGCAAACATGGGATTTGCTTAACTATTGAGCGTTTAAATTTTTATACTACTTTAAGCATATTTTTACATTTCATCACAGTATAAAGACAGGAAAGAGAATTTAGCTACTATGTGTTTCTGAAATGTTGGAGCGTTAAACCACAGTATAAAAGTAAAAGGAACTACTTCAAAATAGAAATTAATTGATTTTTTCCCCCCCCCTATCTTTCTCCCAAAGTTGTCCTAAATGAATCAAATCCCAGGATGGAGCCGAATGGGAAACTTTCAGTGGCGGAGATAGTGGTTTTAGCCACCAGCTCTGCGCTGACTGCAGTGTTTTATTCCGTTTACAGAAGCAGAGTTAAAACTGCTACCCGTTTAAAGGTCAGACATGTTTTCTTGGCACAAAATGGCAAATATATTAATTTACTACATGCAAGATTTGATCAGTTTTTGTATTGCTTGTATTTTTTTAATGCAGCAAGCTCAAAAAGTCTCCATTGATCAGGATTTAGAAGCCGTCCTGTCTGAAACTCCTAGGAGATGCATTCCATACGCTGTCATAGAAGGTTTGCAAAGCATTCTTTAAAGCCTGAAAACGATAAATAAGTTTCACCTCCCTCCTTCACTAAGAGTGGTTATGTGCCACAGGTTTGGTGAGATCAGTGAAGGACACTCTTAACAGCCAGTTTGTTGATGACTACAAAGGCGTCATCGAGAGGCTGACTGTGAAAGAGGAGAAGTTGGTGTGGAATCACACCACTCACTTATGGTGAGTCGTTTGAAGATCAGATCTATATTTTGCTTGTTTCTGGCTTTTCTGGCCTTTCTAATCCAAGAACCATCATCAAAATTTGACATGCGAGCAGATGGAGAATGACTTCATACAACTATTCAAATCTTGCATAAGGTGGTAACGTCAGTGTAGTATCGTAGTCAGAACAGATGGTGACGCTGACGCAAGCAGCAGCTTATCCCACAAGATTCACAGAGTCCATATTTTTGTGATGTACCTCATCAGACATTCATCGGGGAGAAGGGAAAAGGCACTCCTGGCATCATTTTGTCGCTGGATCGCTTATTAGCTGCAACACATTGAACGGCATGTAAACAAATCTGCAAATGCCACCATCCAAATGTCACAGATTGCTTCCTGTCTTATTTCTACTAGGCCAGTGGGAAAAGAAAGTTATTTCTTTTTATCTTTGATTCATTCATATGGAAAAAAACCCCAAAACTAATCCAAAACAAAAATACAATTGAAAAATCAACTTATAAGAAGATAGTAAACTTCTTATCTTTGTATAAAAATACTTATTCAGACGTGACATTATAATGGTGCTCGCAGTAGTTTTCCACTACTGACGGCTTATTGGTCAGTGTTCAGCATCAGATATCAATAACAGCTGCTTTACCCATACTGGTACTAGTTTTAAGTAAAGTAATCTGCTTCTGGAAAGACATTTTAACATATAATATGGGAATAATGTCCTGTTCCAATGGCCGATTTTTTCACTTGTAACTCATACTTTTTCCATCAATATTTAGAAATTATTGACTTTAAACAAGCTTTTTACTTGCTGAGAAATTTTGTCTTATGTAGTTTTGCCTTATTTCAAGTGAACTAACATATTTCTAATATATACTACTACTATAAAAATACTTGGGTTTTTTGCAGTGTGAACAATTAAGTTGACTTAATGTAAATCAAGTTTAAATGTTGAACTATATTTCCAAACAGGAATGGCACAGAGAAAGTCATCCACCAATGCACCAACACCGTCCCATTCGCACTCGGGTCTTACGACGAAAGCGTCTCCACCACAGTGCGGGTTATGCATCCCTTAAACGCGGCAGAGCTGGACCTGGAGACCACCTACGAGAAATTTCACCCCACGAACCAATCCCTGTTTAACTTCATCAGACAATTCATCAGCGGAGAGCAGCTCAAAGGGATCCACCAACTGGAGGAGATGCTGCGCCTGGGCGACGCCGTGACGGGCGTGGGTGAGCTGGTCCTGGACAATGATTTGATTAAGCTGCAGCCGCCCAAGCAGGGCTTTTGTTACTTCCTCACCCGGCAGAACTACGAGTTCCTGCTGAGGAAACAGGTGAATGCCGGGAGAGTGTGGAGGATCCTGTCCTACGTGTTCGGGCTCGCCACCTGTTCCATGCTCCTCTACATGCTGTGGAAGTGGTACATTCTGTGCCGGAAGAGAAAGAAGCGGCGGCGCGTCATGGAGGAGTTCAAGGAGCAGAAGAGGCTCATGCGTGAGCTCCAGATAGAGGAGAGCAGCGTCCTCGCCACCAGCTGCGTTGTGTGTCTGAGCCAGGAACGCTCGTTGGTGTTTTTGGAGTGCGGTCATGTGTGTGCTTGTGACCTCTGCTACCAGGCCCTGCTGGAGCCTAAGAAATGCCCCATCTGCAGGATGACTATCGACAGAGTGGTGCCTCTTTACAACAGCTAAATTCGCTGTTCGTCGGAATTTCTCCGGCTTGAAAAGGGCGCTAACACGAGCAACGATGACAAGTCACCTACAAATTTGTAAGCTAATTCATATTGATTAAAAAATGGTGTCATTGGGAGAGAGAAAATTTAATCTCTTTGTGCTCAGGCTTACAAATATTGATCCAATTCTTGGCCCCACTTCTACAACAATCTGTTGAAAGCAGCATAGAGGACTTTACACTGGAGGGACTTTACTCTTGTAGTCATTAAAGCCTTACATTTGGTCAGCACCTTTCACTCTTTTACTCTCGTTAAAATTACTGTGATACTGACTACTTTGGCTGTCATCTTCATACATAAAATGTGCACTCAACTCTTTTTAAGCTTGGAAAAATACTGTTTGTGGGAAACGCAAAAATTAAAGTCGTAATAACTTGGTTCCTTCAACTAATACTGGTTGAAATGCTTTAGTCTTTACTGGTAGGAGCCACCTATTACTGGCAAATTTACCTGCTTAATTGTGCAAATGTGTAACTATATACAACTAGTTACACATTCAAACTGGGACATTGTTGTTTGTTTAAATGTTGTGCCTTATATGTGCACAATGACATTAAAAGGAATTTTAATGCAGGTTTCCTGTCAAGTTCTGGGCTCAGCCTATCATAATTTCAAAACTTGAATTTTTTTTCCAGTGATTAATTATTTTGATATCTGCTTGAACTCCTATCTTGGAGCTGTTTATAAAATCAACAGTTTTATTTAAAGAAAAATCACTTGCCAGCTGCCACCTCCATGTCTTACTGTGGGTATAGAGTAATGGTTAGCTTAATTAGACTGTAGCACATTTAGGCCCTGGATGTTAAGCTTCTGCTTTACTGACCTACTCATTTATCATAACAGAGAGAAAACATGGACATTTGATTTGGCATGTTGAACAAAACTCTTCTTGACCAGTTTCACTTTTCCGATTTCAATACATTTTTTTTGCTCACGTTCAGTCAGAACTATTTCAGTCATCCCTTATGCGAGCTGTGTGATGGATTATTTTTGTTTAATCATGAAAATATTGTCATATCAGCAGAATAAAGACACAAGGATGTTTTAATGAGAAAAAAACTTGGAAAATAATTTTATTTATTATTAGGAAATGACTACCTAATTTCCTAATATTCCAGATTTGGTTTGGTATTATTAAGGCATTAAGCAACATAAAAATTTGAGTAATCTGGGGATGACCTGAATTCAAAATCCAAATATATAAAAGCTGTAGATAAAAAAAAAAAGTTTGTTAAACAAGATGGGGGCTTGGAAACCCAAGGAGTTCATTGTGGAAAAGAAAAATCCAGATTTTCCATAAACCAAAAATTTGTTAAATCGATAAGATTGATTTATCGCCCAGGTCTAGTGACATCTGTCTTATATTTTCTCCAAATACTATACCATGTCACCTTTATTTATAGAGCACTTTAAACGTCTGTAAGGTCAAAATGCTGTAAACAAAAGAGCCTACAAACAGCCTTATTCTGCAATGAGACAATAAAATCAGGAAACAGTCGTTTTTCAAAAAACTACAACAGATATACTATCAGTTATTAATATAAAAACTAAATTAAATTTAAAAAATAAATAAAAGTAAAAGTCAACATCTCAGATGGTCTCAAAGGTCAAGGGGAAGAGATTGGTTTTAAGGATTTAAAAACAGACAGCCTGTCCAAAGAAAGGTCATTCCTTTATTTAGGAGACGCTGCAGCAAAACCACGGCTTTCTCTAAGTTTACACGTCGTCTTCAGCGCACTCAGACAGAACAGGAGGGTGTGTACTGATGCAGCAGCTCTGGCAGGTAGAGCTGCGACATCATTAGGTCAAGGTCATAGACAGTTTTAAAAGCACAAACATGTTTTAAAATGAAACAAAGACGTTTCAACAAGGCAGTCATTGAACAGTTTGCCTTTTTGGGCAACCGGGTTGTTGCAGCTTTTTTACTGCCAATACATTTATTTGTAAGTTGGATTTCTACGACTGGAAAGGACCATGCTGAGAAAAAAATAAATTACACTCAATTTGTAATATTACAAAAACAATGACATGATACGAGAATAAAGTTGCAACAATATGATAATAAAATCATAATGTCACAAGGATAAAGTCAAAATATTTCAAGAACAAATTTAATATTCTTAATATTTTGAGAATAAAGTCTTAATTATTACTAATATGTAATATTATGACTTTATTATCATGTTATTTGATTTTAATTTCATACAACTTTAGTCTTGTGATACTATGACTTTATTCTTGCAATTTTTTATTTTCTTATCCTGGCCTTAAAACCTCGTCATGGTAAAGGTTATAAAAAAATTGCAAAATTATTTATTAGAATGTACGTTTTACATTCACTCCATGTATTTATGTACATCAGTGACATCCATAACAAAGAAAATAAGCTACATGGTTGGGTTGGTTTTGTCTGTGGTCAAGACAAAACTTTGCAAATAAAAGCGGCTTTATAACCAATCTTTGATCATCTCTTTTTTCAATCTTTCAACTAGTTTCGCAACTGAAACATAATTTCTATAGAAGTAGAAAATCCGACAGTTCCTCCTGCAGCTTTATTGCTATTTTTAAGGATTCTATGATTTTACTGTTGAGTATTTTTTGCTTTTGAGAGAGAAGAGCCTCTTGACATTTGGTTTGGAAGTGCGACGGCTCAAACCTTTCTGACCTAACTTGCGCTCTTCCACTCAGGCTTGAGGTCACGTTTTCTTCTTCGCAGTGCAGAGGATGAAGAAATGTGATTTTAGGAGGGGATAATTGAGTTACAACCTACAACTACAACAAAGAGCTGCAAAAATCTTGACTAGCATTCATCAACTTCAATTCCAGGTTGCAAAAAAAACACATGGAATTAAACTGCAAAGCACTGCACCATATTGGCAACTGAGACATCATTAAAAGCAAGTATGGTTTTGAATAAACTTTTCTTATAAGTGTTCTTGTCAAATGAGGAGACACGCGATTTCTACCAGGAGAGGGGGATGTTGGGTTTTATTGAAAATTAATATGAAAGTTTTGGAGCATAAATGAACATAAAAATGCATCACTTAGGCAGCAGTTTTATCCCTAAACCACAGATTTGTGATTAAAAAATCTATACTTTATTAATCTTCATGTTTTTGTTCCAGTAAATAGCTGAATTTTATAGAGGCAGAAGAAAGGCGATTTCAGTACAAATTCAGACTTAAACCAACAGGGAGTGCATTTCCTGCTTCATACTGGAGCATTTTCATTTATCTGGCTTAAACAAATTAATGTTTTCTTTTTGAAATCTGCATATTCATCCAAAAACGTAATTTTTTCAGCCCACGTCATGCTCTGAGACCTCCAGTGTATTGTTTAAGCATTAAGTCAACCTTGCCATTAACACTTCATTAGTATTCAGCAGCTCGCCCCCCAGATATCTTTTTTACAGGAGCAAGCTGATGCTGGCTGGTTCCTTAAAGATCCTGAGCTAAAGGTCAGACATTTAGTGTAATCAAGCAGGAAGGAAAGGATTAGCTACAAGTTGGGTCCAACAAAAGCCCACTAAGGCTCCAGGCCAACTAACTCGTCTCAGCTTAATATTTCTTCTTTTTTCCTTCAGCTTTCAATTTAAAAAAAATCTATTAGCTCAACTAAAATTTGTTCAAAACTTCCACTCAGGAGTCCTATTCAAACTGAAATATTAAGTTTGTCCAGAAATTTGGCTCAAGCCTCCATTAACTATTATCGTAATGCTTGAAAGTTAGTCTGTTGTGTTTATACTGATACATTATTTTTCTAATTGTGCCTTAATGAACTATAATGTAACATCAGTAAAATGTAAGATAAGCATCTACTTAGGATGACTCGGGGGGCCCTCAAGCTACCATAATGAAGTATATATTTTAAATAATATACACTAAATGCAATTACAAATGAAAAAACAATTTCTATAGTATTTTAGTTGTTACACAAATAATAGGTTAAGTTAATATCTTCCTGCTTTTAGCTGCTGCCTCTGTTGGAGAAATATAACTCATTAACTTGTCTCCCATAAATTTACTGCTGCCATTACAAATAGCAAAAACAATACGGCACAATTAAATGCCACTTTACTTTTCAAAACCCTATTATTTTTTTATTTGCTACTCTTGCAAGGTTGAAATCCAGAGCCACAATAACACTCGTTTGAGTATTATTGTGTTACAAGTTAATTACAAGTGATGCTAATAAGAGTGGATATGTTACATACATAGAGCAGCTTAGGAGTGATAACTCATCTGGTTTTGACATGCTGGTTTTTTTCTTACTTCACTTGCATGAAGATAAATGTAGTAGAAACTGGACAAAAAATTCCTGGTAAGATTTTGTGTTTTTCAATGTAGCATAGTGTTATTGAGGAACATATCACAAATTTTGTCAGAAGGGCTAACGGTTGTGTATCAAACATTTGACTCCAACTGTGGCTGCAAATCCGGCAATGAAATCCCAGGACAGCACTTATTGGGTCAATAGTGGCGTGTTAACGAACCTCTTTAGTGCACAGCAAACATGAAAGCAGCGGCGCAGATCCAACACCATGGAAACCCCCCGCTGGTTTATTCCTGCTTTTAGCAGAAGAAGCTGTCACCATTGTGACAGTGAATGAGCCATAAAAGGCATTCCTCCTTGTGTTGCTCTCTGTAGAGTTTAAAATCGGAATGCAGCAGGAATCTTTGGACAATTATTGTCCAGGAAGACCCACATTTAAAGATTTAAGTGAAATCCATACATGTGCAGGTTTCTCTGTAAATATAACTTCATATGGCAAAATTAACGAGCGGCTGTAAATAAAAGGTATAGCCACTTTAATGCTTTATTGGAACACTTTAGCAGTAGTTTCTTATATTGAGCCAGATTCTCAGTAATTCTCTCCAATCAGGCACCACTTATTTAGTCTTAGTAGAGGTCTATTGTGTTATTAGTTTCTTTTATTTGAAAGAGGTTTCAGTTCAATGTAGAGGATAATCTTTCCTTTAGGCTCCTTTCTCTGCATCTCAGTGTCCAAAGCTTTAAAATATAGCAAATATTTAAATGCATGTTAAAACTTTTACACAGACAGTTTTGTGAAAAACACAAGAGGTTGTCACAGCAACCAGTAATCATCTTCTTATAACTGGAGTCATTTATTGATGCCCACAACCTGCCGCAGGCCTAGCTTTCAGCCAGACAGTAAAATTACTCGTATTTTTTTCCTCCTTTTCTCTGTGTGCTATTTGTGTGCAAATTTAAACTCCATAATATACTTGCCTTCGATTAAATTAGACGTCGGCCTCCATTATGCAGGCAGAGGCACCTCAGCGGCTGAAATGTAAACAGAATAATTGTCGTTGAGGTTTCACCGTCCACTCCAGATCCGGAGCCGTGTGGTAGAGCACATGATGACGGACATTAGTGAGCTCAACTGAATTACCTGAATCTAAATGGATGTATTACTGCCCTCAGTGAAAAATCAGCTTGCAGTCAAATCGATTTCAACTGCAGCTTCTCCTTGCCTCCATGTAATAAAACAATTCTCTATATATGGCATTTAAAAAAAGCTTGCTTTACACTGGTTCACACGACGCAGTTTTAAATTTACAGTCAGTGGCTTAGCAACAGT